CTGACTCTATAAACCGCTTAGAGAGGGCTGAAAGCCCTAGGAAGCGGTATATAAGTCTAACTGCTATTGCTATTTTCTTGCAGATGTTTCGTGACCCAGCTACGTAACGCCATCAGTGTTAATTAGACTTCAAAGAGTAATAAAACATCTGCGAACAACAGCGAAACTCAGAGAGCACCAACTTCTAATTTCCCACGATGCCCCAGGGTTCTGCCCTACGACAAAAATTCGACCTCCATCTCTCTTAAAATCCCTTTCCAGTCCTTCAACAGCCCAGGCATTTCAATCCCATTTTTTTTTAAAATCTTCTGAAAGAACGCGAGAGCCCAAATTGGGCTCAAACCAACTTTGGTTTAGCTCCAACACCGCCGGACAGTCGCCCGCCTAAAGCCAATAATCAGGGTTTAAGACTAGCAAGCTTCCCCATCATCCTGCGAGCATTTCCCCCACGGATTGATCCGTCAAGCTAAACCTCTGGAGCGCGAATCCGGCAGAAGAACAAGCAAATCCATCAGATTTTTTTAAAAAGGCGGGATATAAATAAACAACATAAATCTCGTCTGGGATCACCTGCGATCAAAAGGAATCGTGAAATCGAGGCTCACTTTTTTTTAAAAAATAACCCTGCGTCCCTTTGCAAAATAGCTTAACAAGAGAGGGGAGTCTTCGAACTGCGACTGCAATGGACCTTCGGCTAATCGCTAGAAGTCAGGGACTTCTAGTGCCATGTTGGGCCTGAAAGCCAGCTGGGTGACCTTGGGCCAATCTGGGAGTTCTAGTTCCGCCTTAAACATGGAATCTGGTTGGGTGACCTTCGGGGCAATCACCAGAAATCAGTGACTTCCAGCGCCATGTTGGGCGTGAAAGCCAGCTAGGTGATATTGGGCCAATCTGGGAGTTCTAGTTCTGCCTTAAACATGGAATCTGGTTGGGTGACTTTCAGGGCAATCACCAGAAATCAGTGACTTCCAGCGCCATGTTGGGTGTGAAAGCCAGCTAGGTGATATTGGGCCAATCTGGGAGTTCTAGTTCTGCCTTAAACATGGAATCTGGTTGGGTGACCTTTGGGGCAATCACCAGAAATCAGTGATTTCCAGCGCCATGTTGGGTGTGAAAGCCAGCTGGGTGACCTTGGACCAATCTGGAAGTTCTAGTTCTGCCTTAAACATGGAATCTGGTTGGGTGACCTTNCCCACAGAACCAGTAGTAAAAAAAAAATTGAATTTCACCACTTCTCCCAACTACTCAAAATTTCTGCTACTGGTTCTCCAGAAGTGGTCAGAACCAGCTGAACGCCACCTCTGGATAGGGCCCTTGGTTCAAATCTGCCCAGATCCTTTTGGATCCTGAAGCTTGTCTTGTGGGGCGTTTGGCTGTTCTTGCTTAGTATGGTGAACAAAATTGGTTGCGGTATTCCAGGTGTGTTCTTACTAGGGTTTTATGGAGCGGTACTCTTACTTCACGTGATTCTTGGATGAGAAGCGAAGAAGCGTCAAAGAAAAAGCAGAAAGCCCAGCTATCTCTTGGGAAGAGAACCTTTGGGACCAAGGGAAGGAAGGAAAGGAAGACGGACAGATGAATAAATACTTTTTTTAAATTAAACTTACATGTCTCGATATCGGCGGATGCCAACTTGCCTGTTGCCCCGAAATGAATTCTGATGAATTTACCCTAGGTAGAAATACGAGTGTGAATATGTAAAAAAAAGATCTAGATTTGAATCAAATCAAACCTTCCACTCGGCCAGTGGTGCTCAACCTTCAACCATTTGCTGAGCGGCCATTCGAAGTTATGACGCTGGAAAAAAAGTGACTTACGACGAATCCTCGCACTGACGGCCGTTGAAGCATCTCTACGGCCCCATGATCAAAATTCGGATGCTTACAACTGGCTTGTATTTATGACCGTTGCTGAATCCCGGGGTCACACCCTCATCCTTTGTGACCTTTTGACATGGGATATATGCCAGATTTGCTTAACGACGGTGTGATTCACTTAACAACCTCCGCGATTTGCTTAAAAATGGTGGCAAAATCGGGCGGGACGTGCTTAACAACCGCCTTGCTGAACAATGGGAATCATGGCATGAATTGAGGTCGCAAGTCGAGGATTACGTGACCACAATTGAGCCTGACATTTCTGTTGCTAAGTGAGACAGTTGTTGAGGGAGCTTTCCCCATTTTACAGCCTTTCTTCCCGCAGTTGGTAAGGGAGTCGCTGCAACGGTTAAGTAAGTAACACGGCCGTTAAGTGAGTCTGGCTTCCCCGTTGACTCTGCTTGTCAGATGGTTGCAAAAGGGGATTGCACGATCCGAGGAGGCTGCCACCGTCATAATTCTGAGTCAGTTGCCAAGCGTCTGAATCATGGGCCCATGGGGAGGCTGTAGACACTGTAAGTCTGGAAAATGGCCGTAAGTCACTTTTTTCCAGTGCCGTTATAACTTCAAGTAGCCACTAAATGAACTGTTGGACGTCAGAGACATCCCGTATGATAAAATTGACTGATGGCCTCTGTAAGATGGCTGCTCTTTTAGCGTTTACCTAAACTTGGAGACAGGGGTGGGATTCAACAATTTTAGCAACCAGTTCTCTGCCTGGTTGCCGGGTGGGCGTGGCCTACTCAGCCTCCTGCACCATGGTGGCGGAGTGTTTTTGCCCTCTCCAGGCTCCAGAGGTTTTTTTCGAGCCTCCGGGAGGGCAAAAATGGCCTCCCCCAGACTCTGGAGGTCCTCTGGAAGCCCATTTCCAGACCTTCTGGGAGGCCCATTCTTTTGCCCTCCAAGAGCACTCCGCTCTGCACTTACCTGGCATCCAAATTGGAGACTCCTGGGAGGGGCGGGCATGGCCAGCCAGTCCTCGCAAGTACCGGTTCGGCAAACCAGATGTAAAGTTAGCATCCGGTTAGCCTGAACTGCCCCAAACCAGCTGAATCCCACTCCTGCTTGTAGAGCAGGAAGACGCATGAGTCGTCTTCCTTCTTAACATCCTCCACTTGTGAATTCTAGACAGACTTCCGGAGTTCTTTCTTACTCAAATCCAACTTTAGATTGGGAGCACTCACAAAACGGGATGAGTTGTCGTTCCTTAAAGTTTTGGCGTTGCCGAAGGCTTCTAAGGCAGGGTTGGCCTGGATGATTTGATCTTCCAAGGTCCCCTGAAGAGGAAGCAAATAGACAAAAGAAAAGAAGGAAATCCAGATGAGAAGAAAGGAAATTTGTTTTTTCATCCCATCGCCATGGAAACGGTCCCTCCCAACCCACCATCCTGAATGAGACCACAGAAGAGTGTTTCTCAATCTTGGCAACGTTAAGGCAAGAATATTTTCTCAGGAGCATGCTATAAAGGAAGCTTCCCCAGGTTGATGTTCTCCAGAAAATACCAGGAACATCTTCTCAGGAGCATGCTATAAGAGAAGCTTCTCCAAGTTGATGTTCTCCACCTTCCCCAGGTTGATGTTCTCCAGAAAATACCAGGAACATCTTCTCAGGAGCACGCTATAAGAGAAGCTTCTCCAAGTTGAGGTTCTCCAGATGTTAGCCTACTAGCNTTTAGCTCTCATCAGCTAGCCATACCCTTACTGGGAATCGAACCTGGGCAGTTGTATTAGCCACTAAGCCCAGGTTCGATTCCCAGTAAGGGTATGGCTAGCTGATGAGAGCTAAATAGTTTGAAATAGATCTATACTAGTCTCCCTTTATTTATTTATCAGCACAATTGCAACACAAATGTAACAAGGCAACATAAAAAAATGGCTTTCTCCCTGGATGGCTCCCAGAGTGAGCCAATGGACAGAAAAAGGAAAGCAGTATACTCCCTCCCATATTTTGGCATACCAGGGGTTGTGACATGAGAGAGAGAGGGGGGGGAGGGAGGGAGGCAGAGAGAGAGAGAGTAAAATAGGTAGGTAGGTAGGTGGGTAGGTAGGTAGGTGGGTAGGTAGGTAGGTAGGAAGATAGATGGATGGATGAATGGATGGATGGATGGATGGATATGGGTAGGAAGGAAGAAATAAAGAAGGAAGGAAGGAAGATAGGGAGAGAGAGAGAGAGTGAGAGTGAGAGAGAGAGTAACTTTATTGTCACTTTGAATGTACCCTAGTCTAGGAGAAGGAAGCATCCTTACCTGTTGGACATTTTGCCCTTTGGTGACATATTCGTTGCCAACCTTCACTCGGGGGTGACACAGCCCCTTGACCAAGTCGGCCGAGTTGAGACCCATCAAGTAGGCGGATTTATCCGTGGCTGGAGAATGAAAGAAACGATTCCAGCAAATTTCACGGGAACATAAATATTCCTCTTCCGATGTTTCTCTTCCTTCCATACACTCAGCGGAGACCTCTCTATCTGTCTTCCTCCAAAAATGTTTCCCTCTACCCCTGAAATTCCCAACCACCAATGGAATTCTGCAGACATACTGTTTATATATATATAATATACATACAGAGCAAATAAAGAGAACAGTCACCATGTGCTTTACTGCTTAACTGCTTAACTGTAACAGGAAACGGGAAACTCTAGTTAGAACCAAAGAGCATAGAGGATATAGCACAGATCCAAACTTGTAAACACTGCCATCTACTGGTTGAATACTGCTGTAGTTGCTGCCTAGAAATGTACTCCGACAATGAATCCCAACACTCACCCTCAGTCCCGTCAGGCTCAGCCTGTTCTTCGCGCTGCTTCTGCTTGAACTTCATGTTCCCGTAGTGCATGATGGCGCCCGTCAGCTTGTAGACGCCCACTTTTTCTTCAGCGGTGAAGCCCAGGACGTCAAAGGCACTCTGAGTGGAAAAGAGGTGGGTGAGTAGAAAGAGACAACGTCCATGAAACGTGAGGAAGACGTAGGTTGATCAGCTTGCTACCCATTCCTGAAAAGTTGGTGAACCTCAACCTAAATCCACTTACATCGGTAGCCATCAGCTCTTCGGAGTCGTCAATGGAGGCCACCGTTACTTCTCCTTGGGAGACGTAGTGGTAGTCGTAAGGATTGTTGGTGACCAACAAGAGATCTGTTAGATAAGAATGGGAGGAAAAGTTATGAGATGAGCTTATTCACAATACCGGCAGTCCTCGACTTACAACCACAAATTTTGGAGGCCAAAATTTCTGTTGTTAAGTGAGACATTTGTGAAATGAATCACTGCTGCTGTTAAGTTAGTCACATGGTTGTTAAGTGAAGCTGGTTTCCCCATTGACTTTGCTTCTCAGAAGGTCCCCAAAATGTGATCACATGACTTTGAGACACAGCAACAGTCGTAAATATGAACCAGTTGCCAAACATCTGAATTAGGATCCCATTGTTACGGGAATGCAGTAAAGGTCATAACTGTGAAAATTTCAACTTTGAACAGTCACTAAAGGAAAGGTTGTAAATTACAGACAAATTCTGGGTTGGGGAATTCTGGGAGTTGAAGTCCACAGGTTGTTAAGTTGTCAATGTTGGGCATCCCTGGCATAGACCCAATCCGAATAATTAAACACAACCATAACTATCAAACTAATATCCGAGGGGTCCTTGTTGAGTGTCCACTCACTCAACAACTGTACAAACTTAGGATGGCGCTAAACAAGTGGAAGTTACAACTGGTTCTTGGCGTTCCAATCATTGCAGTGTCTCCATAGTTATGCGATTACAATTTCCAACATTTCCTGCTGGCTGCCCACAAGCCAAGACAATGGGAGAGCCAGCGGGAAGTCGAATATGATCTTTGCTTTATCTATGAAGCTTCTCTTAACAATAGGAAGTGGGACTGCCAGAACTGCAGTCACTAAGCAGCACAGTCACTTAATACCACATTTTATGACTGTATTTCCCTAGCGACTTACTCTGGTCTTAATTGCCGTCGCAAACCAAGGACTTCTCTGTAGAATGAAACCAACATGCACTGAGTAAAACCCTCTCAAATCTTCTTCATGTCCGATTCTGGCCCTACCCAGCGGGAATTGCACATAGAGGTGGTCCTCGACTTACGACCGCAATCAAGTCCAAAATTTATGCTGCTAAGCGAGACATTGGTGTGAAGTGAGTTTTGCCCCCTTTTACGACTTTCCTTGCCACGGTTGTTAAGCGAATCTCTGCCGCTGTTAAGCTAGCCACGCGGCTGTTAGGTGAATCGGGCTTCCCCGTTAACTTTGCTCGTCAGAAGGTTACAAAGGAGGATCACGTGATCCCAGGGACAATACGACCGTCATAAATACGAGTCATTTGTCAAGCAGCCAAATTTTGCTCACGTGGTCCGGGGGATGCTGCCACCGTCATATGTGTGTCAAACTCGAGTCCCTTTATTTAGTGTCGTCGTAACTTTGAAGGGTCACTAAATGGATGTTTATAAATCTGTATACACCCTCCTTCTATCCCCTCCTCCACCTTCCCCCCCCACCCCAAAAAAACCCCATATAAAACTTGCCCAGAAGTTCTGGTTTCTTGTTGGACAAAATCTGATAGAAGATGTGATAATTTCTTTCAGATTTCAGCTGAAAAATCACCCGAGACTTCTCTAAGAGATCTAAAAAAAAGGAGAGAGAAAAGAGAAATATAACAGAGAGTATGAAATGTTGTGGCCCAACAGATTCGGACAGTGAGGAGGTTGGGGAGGAAGATGGGCCAGTCCTGGAGTCTGGGGAAGGCTCAGATGTGGGCTCTGTGTCGGAGGCAGAGAGAGGGCCAGAGCCATATGCCAGTTATCAGCTGCCTTCGGAGTCCGACATCAGTGAGGCAGACGAACAGCTGGAGCCTGTTCCCACTGGAGTCGACTTGGGAGTAAGGCCACAGGTGGATGATGAATGGCCCCTCCCAGAGGAAATAAAAGAGGGAGCGACAGGGGAGTGGAGTTTGCAGGAGACAATTAGTTCCCTTCATTGGTTCGAGACTCTCCGAGACTCTTTGCCACATTTGGCAGATCTCGGTCTGGCCGCTCTCCAAGCCAGATAAGGTCTGTGACTGTAAATCCTCCTTTGAAAGACTTGGCTGGATGTGAAGGAGCAGAATTCACAGCAAATTAATCAAAGGGGTTTTTGTCAGGACTTCATGCTCTTGGGAAGCCTCGGTCTTCAACAGAAGCCCACCCGAGGTTGTGGGAAGGAGTGGTCTCCTTTTCAAGATGGAGGTCTGTGGAGATTCTCAAGTCATCCAGGTCATGGTTGTTCCAAAGGGGGGAAAAAAGATTCTTTTTTTCAAAAAGAAAACNAGCATGCTATAAGAGAAGCTTCTCCAAGTTGATGTTCTCCACCTTCCCCAGGTTGATGTTCTCCAGAAAATACCAGGAACATCTTCTCAGGAGCACGCTATAAGAGAAGCTTCTCCAAGTTGAGGTTCTCCAGATGTTAGCCTACTAGCCCCATCACCTGTAGCTAAACATATCTGGAGGGAAGCAGTTTGAGGAAGACAATTGAATCCCAAAACCAGAAGAAGAACTACCTTGGGGGAGTTGGCGGCCTCTTTTTTGCGGTCCCCGATGGCAGCAATACTGGCAAAGTATTGGATGACCCGTTTCGTGTTGACCGTTTTCCCAGCACCGGATTCTCCACTGAAAAGGAGACAGAATAAGATTGCTGAGGCTCGCCGGCAACCAGTGGATCTGGCAGCCGAGTCGGACAGTGAGGAAGTTGGGGAGGAAGATGGGACAGTTCTGAGTGTTGAGGAAAGCTCAGACGAGGGCTCTGCGTCTGAGGCATAAAGGTAGCCTAGATAGCAGTGGGACAGAGGAACAGCTGGAGCCTGTTCCCAGTGTGTGCATGTGCAGAGCTGCCAGAAGACACGAACAACTAAGAAAGCAGGGTTGACTTGGGAGTAAAGCCACAGGTGGATGGTGATTGGCACCTCCCAGAGGAAACAAAAAAGGAGTGAACCGGGAGGGGACTTTTGCAGGAAGCAATTCGTTCCTTCGGTCGTATCAAGAAAGTTCTGTTTGTGACTATAAGAGATTCTGTGCCAAGTGTTGCCTTGCCCTGCATTTGGAAATTAATTACCTGGTAGCTCTTCATGCGAGATAAGGTTTGTGTGGATAAACATTCCTCTGAAAGACTGTTTGCCAAGCCTTGCTGACTGTGAATGAAAGGAACTCACAGTTGTGCCAAATATTGCCTTGCCCTGTGTGTGGAAACTTGTTATCTGGCAGCTCTCCAAGCGAGATAAGGTTCGTGTGGATAAATACTCCTCTGAAAGACTGTTTGCCAAGCCTTGTGGATGTGAATGAAAGGAATTCACAGTCTGCCAAGTATTGCCTTGCCCTGTGTGTGGAAACTAGCTATCTGGCAGCTCTCCTAGTGAGATAAGGTTCATGTAGATAAATATTCCGCTGAAAGACTGTTTGGCAAGCCTTGTGCACTGTGAATGAAAGGAATTAACAGTCGTGCCAAGTATTGCCTTGCCCTGTGTATGGCAGCTAGTTATCTGGCAGCTCTCCAAGCAAGATAAGGTTCGTGTAGATAAATATTCCGCTGAAAGACTGTTTGCCAAGCCTTG